ATAAAAGGTGTCACACTGTAATGGCTATATTGTGGTGACTGTATTTTTTTTTTAAGATTACTATTGCATCTAGGTGCGTCCAGCGAGAAAAGCTTATATCTTGAGCATTTCTTCACCTCTTTATCTGATGTTTCTAAATGTCTCATCTTCATGAGAATATGATAAAACCAAAACGTTCCTTTAGTAAGATGGCTAAGTCGATGAGGAATGTCATCCTCAGCACTGATGTTAGAGAGTTTTAAAACGGAGAAGCGATCCAAAATACATCCCACATCTAAAAGATCTGCCAGGTCTAAAACATTTATAGTTCAAGGCCTTTACTAAAATAGAGACAGAAACCATGCTAGAAGGTCTCTAAACGTGATTTAAAATGCTGCTTAAGTAAAGGTAAGTGTGATGTCCAATGGCTTAGTAGGCTTTATCATACATTTACTAAATAGATTGTCAATGATGGAATAATAGATGATAAAATTTTTACTGTTAACATGGTTGGGGAAGTTTTAAATAAATTCTAACGGAAGGAGGCTTTGTGAAGTTGAGTCTTTGCAAACCACAAGACTCAATCTTCAACACAAGACCAAAGTGAAGATGTTCGGCCACGATGTGCAACGGGATGTTTGGCAAAAACCAAACTCAGCGCATGAACAGAAACACCTCATACCATCTGTCAAGTACAGGGGGAGGAGGGGGGATGGTTTGGGCTTGCTTTGCAGCCACAGCACCTGGGCACCTTGCAGTCACTGAGTCAACCATGAACTCCTGTGTAAACCAAAGTATTCTCAAGTCAAATGTGAGACCATCTGTCCGACAGCTAAAGCTCTGCCGAAATTTGGTCAGGTATCAGTACAACGATCCCAAGCATAGGCCCAAATGTACAAGGAATGGCTAAAAGAAGAAAGGAATCAAAGAGTTGCAGTGGCCTAGTGAAGGTCCGGACCTCAACCTGACCAAAATACTGTGGTGGGATAATTGTGCATAACTGAATACCCACAAACCTCACTGAACTGTAAAGAAGAGTGGTCCAGGATGATGTGACAGACTGGAAGTACAGAAAATGATCACCTTAAGTTATTGCTGTCAAGGGTGGCTCTGCAAGCCATAATAATAAGATGCACTTTGTGTTGTCCAAGTTTCTGTTAAACGAATAAGGACACAGTGTAACATGTCATGTGTTGTTGTTCGTCTGAGGCTGTATTTACCTAAAGTTAAGGCCTGCTTAGGACCAGACAATTTTTAAATGTTCTGATACAGAAAACTTTAGAACTGATCACTGCAGTGCTTTCTATTTTACGATGACTGTACACAGATTGAAACATAATTCACACAACTAAGCATGGACAGGCCCAAATGCTCCTTGTCCATCCTCAAGTCTGCACTGTTTAGGGACTGCAGACAGGAAGGATTCAGAGTAAAGACTTAGTAAATGTATTAAATGAGTGTCTCTTTTGGAAGAATTCAAATAAATAAAAATGAAGGTTTTCAGTGTGTTTCTCAATATGAAAGCAAGAGTGGGCATTGTCCAGCCAATGGTTTTCAATTTAGGCATATCGACCAACAAACTGACCAGATGACCTGCCAACTAGTGTAGTAGTGAGCTAATGTTTCTAATATTTTAACTATCCTGTGATATGCAGTCATAGATAACTAGTGTAATATGTAATTTTCAAAATGACGGGGATTTAAACACATAAAAATAGACATAAGTACATGTTGTCTCTAAAGCCACTTTCATAAATCATAATTAAAACCGCAAGCAAAACATCAAAACAGACACATTTTTGTTGATCAAAAGTCTGAATCTTCTCACGATCTTGGCTGAGTCATTTGCATTGACAGCTTAATCATTTTTGCTTCTTTAGTGGTCACCGTGTTCCATGTCCCTTACTAAGACGTGGTGGGCTTCAGGCAGACCAGGTGGAAGTTTTAGGGGCTTTACTTTGCATGTTTCCTCCATTCCGGTGTTCTAACACAATGATGTGTGATAAAAAAAAAAAAAAAAGCTATTAAAAACCACGTTTACTATGTGTGGGTAGAAAGAGAAAGTACAGCTCTGTCTCAGTGTGCTAGAGCTGGGGGAGGTCTGAGGGGCTGAGAGCGTTTGAGGTCGATGAGACATTTTACTCGCGCTAAAGAGTACTGGGTTTTTCCCAGCCCTGAACCCACCTTAGTGGTCCGCCATGGTTGCTATTTGCATGACAGAGCTGTTAAACATTTAAGCAAAAACCCTAAACTACAAATTAAACCGTAGTTAAACAAAAGTGTGGCGTAAACATTGCAAAAAAAACACTGGCGCTAAGGCTTTTCTTTCAGTTGTCACATTCATGTGCTGTCGAGTCAAAAGTACTGCGCACGGTTCAGTTTACAGTAGGTTTCAGAAGAATCTCTGTGAAGTTTTATTTACTTTGTACTGTATTGCATTATTTTTCACACTTTTTCATAAAACTGCAAATGCTTGTGTGGGTGCATGCATGTGCAGTATGAAGGTAACAATGAATAACTTCCTATGCCTCAGCGACTAAATTATACTCACGTTGCACGGAGCCAAAAGAACTACGTGAGGTCACACTTTCCTCTGTGCGGGTCTACCACAAAATGCATATGTAGGGCCGAATACTAGAGGATATGTGGCAATATATACTATTGCAGGCAAAAAGACGTAAGATTATATGAAGAAAATAGTCCTACCTTTTACCTCGGCCAACTTATTTTATCAGTTTTAATAACAAATGCAGGTCAAAAGTTAATTTTTGCATCGACACGATTCCTGAGTCGCCTTTTGACCCCAACTCTATGAACAACTTCCTGAAATGCTTTTTAACCTACATTAGGTGCTAAAGTCTTAGGCCAGATCAATGCTGCTGTAAATGTGAAATCAATTTAGGATTCATTCCCCCAAAGATTTCACCTTTTATCAATGGATTTGATTCAATCCTTTTTAATGCCTCATTACATGCTTTGTGGAGGTAGATGACAAATGCAGGAATGACTCAAAACCGCAGGCTGTAGGACCAAAACAGTGAGTTAAAAGATGCTGAAATCTGTCATTTATTTATATCCACATTCATCTCTCATCTGTCACCTAGCACACAGTATTTTTTTTCTATTGTTAAGGCAAAAGTATGACAAAGTATTCAAGTATTCCTATAAATACACCTTGTACATATTTGTCTGTGTCAGCTATTTCATGTTGCACGGACTACTGAAACATGCCTAATGTTCTTAGAAGAGAGGAAATAGCCCCTATATTAGCCTTCTGCTAAATTAGACCCCGTAAGTGTAAACTCATCCCACCTGCTCAAGTGTACTCAGGATGTGGTGGTTAGCGTGGTATCACAGGCCCCCAGTTTCAGAGAAAACCAAACTCGACCCTGAAACATAAATGCAAAAATATTGCAGGAATATGACCTATATTAAAAAACAATTGCCCCAGCACAATTAAACTTTTAAAACCTTTATGCTCATGCTGAAAGCAACAACACCTACTCTGAATTTTCTATCTCATTTTGTTCTTACTCATGGAAAAAACTAGTCTTCCATTAACAAACAGTCATTAGGGGAAAAAGTTACATGTTAACATATAATATACAACTAATATAATGCCTATTTACATCTTATAATATGTACTTGTATTTTGGGTTTCTGTGCACCACAAGGTGTTTTTGTGGCATTTTATGTGCGTCACAAATAAAGAAAAAAACCCATACAGATTGCGAAATTGATAATTCTCAAATGCAATTACTATCTATAACATTAGCTTATCTAGAATTTTTGAATGTACGTGAGTAGCAAATGTCACCAGTTATCATGGTGATCAGTCAGAGATGTGTCTGTTCTTCTGCACACCCATAACAAGTAGACTGTTTGCATGAACCTGACTTGTGCATTAAAATAGAAAGGAAAAACACTGCAGCTTTTACACCCTGATACTAACACGGTACGTGAGCCTCTCTGCTATTTTAGGCGAAAGTCAGCTTTATATCAGAACAAGCTGTTAAGCCAGACCATGTGATGTCCAGTTTTCTTTAAAATTACCATGCAATCTCCATAATGGAAATATATAACGTCATTGCATATTAATTTTAGAACTACAGTGAAAGGATAGCAACAACTTCACCTACTTCCAAGGTGCATGGAGAGGATGAGAAACTAACAATGCAGGCACTCCAGCAACACTCAAAGGTTGCTGAGGGAACAACTTTATTAACTGACCAATGCGTCATCAGGGTATTCCTCACCATCCTGACCCATCATGACCCTGATGAAGGCCACAAGCTGGTCAGTTAATAAAAATGTTCCTCTTTACCTATAACTACAGTAAAAGAAATATCAGTTACAATTTTAGGTTTTACACTGCACTTTGGCAGTTATGAAGGTGAGGCAACTGAGTTAGCTTAAGTGATTAGGACAGTGATTAGCAGCATAGTTTTGAGTGGTACTACTCTAAGCATGTTGTCGTTTGATTGGTTGAGCAGCATGTTGGAGGATACAGAGACGTGCTAGCTGGTTTAACATCTGGTTAGTTGGTTGTTAATTGTTAGCACACTGCACTGTTGGGTGATGTTATTGTCTGGCAAAATTATAGCAACAATTGAAAAGAAAAGTGAAGAGACTCCTTAGTAGAGCTGCTTTGAGGGTATTGGCAAAGGCAAAGTGATAAAGATCAAAACCACACATACCACCTTCCCTTAACCCCTAGACTGGCATTGAAACTATCACTCAACTTTTAGTACAGGTTATTGGTGCAAGGTTTGCTTGACAGCTGGCACAAGTCTGTTTACCATGCCCTAATGATGTAAATGATGCACATCTCCAGATTGCTATCAGTGTTTAGCTGCATTTCTATATTGGCTTCCTTCCTGCACATTGGTTATTTCCATTTTTGTACAAAAACAGTGAGACTTAGTAAGAACAAGAGTTCCCAGGAACATTCCTCACCCACATTTTTCATATTTTACAACAAACGCAACATTTGCTTAAAAGTAACTTTAATTGATTGTGGGAAAGCTTCAAATATATACTTTTTTTAAAACAAACATATTTATGACAATGAAACATGACAAACTGACATTTATATTTATATATATTTATATATTATATTATACTATGTAGCTATAGTATTCCTTTTTTTAACTTTAATGATGAAATATAGCAAGAGCGGTAAAGCTAAGTAGAGTGGCACTGATTTTAGTAAGCTTTAATTTGGGGGGGATTTCTCAGACACATTTTCACTGCTCCTTGTTCCTCCATCCTGCGTGTCCTCTCCCAAAGTGACATTCTTTTGAGGGATCTCCTCTGATGTTGGGGGTGCAGTGGATGTTGCTGGTGTGGATGTTGCTGGAGTGGATCCTGTTGGTATCATGTCACTTGTGAATCCCTTTTGCGAATTCTCCCTGTCCACCTTCTCAATTGCTTTTCTTGTCCAGTCAGCGCCTGGTTTGGCACAGATTGTCTTTCCAAGCACGGTCTGTAACCTGCAATTTTTGGTTGGCTATTAATGGCATTGTAATACATTTCTAACATTATTTGTATATACTGGTAGGTGCAAACAGATTTAGAGGCCTCACAGCAAGCCTGCATGTTCTCTCATGTTGTGGGTCCTGGGTCTAGATAGGTGGTTGGCACCTATCTAGACCCAGGACACTCTTACAAAAGAGATTCTTGATTCTCAAATGCTTCACTTCTTGCTTTTAAAAGTTAATAAAAAAAAATATTTTCACCTCTGTTGCAGCTAGTGGCATGCAGTTAGCTTGTATTGAACATCTCCATTCTCAGTACACAGTAAATTTGCTTATCAAGTATTTTCCCCTGCAGCATCTCTTTACAGAGTGGTTTCTGAAACTCGAAGGCCTTCCTGTGAACATGTTTTCAAAGAATTTCCTCCAGTACAAAGAGGTTTCAGTGAGAACTGCTGATAGGTTTTTGGATCGTTAGGAATGACATGACTACTAAAGTCCCAACTGGCCAATTTAATTGGTATAGTGGTGAAAATCAAAGACAGACACTGTATTTGAATAGTCAAACATGTAGAACCAAACTTCTCAGAATGACTGGATATCACCACAGGAAAATGTGTTTTTATATTATAGGTCATTTATTTGTCATTTTAATGTTATTTTAAAATAGTTGGATGGAGTGTATAAACTTTATTAAATTATATCTATTCCTTTTTTTAAGCGGTGAAGACAGTGAGGTTAAAGTCTGTCCCAGCTGACTAAATGGAAAGCACAGTGTCAGATGTCAGCTGATCATCCCAGAGTTAACACAGAAAGAGACTGGCATCCATTCCCTCTCACATCTGCACTTACTGTAAGTTTATAGTCATTTTTAATTGAACAAGTATGGTTTTCAAAGCAATGTGGAATATAAAAAAACTCAACACAGTGCCAGCCAGGAGTTTACAACCAAGAACCTTTTTGTGCCCACCTCTGTGTCACTGCCCGTTATCTATGTATTTTCAAATACAGTTTGAAGATAATAATGAAGCATCTCTTTGGAAAGGGGAAGCAAACACCTAGAAAGACCCCAGCTGGCCAACAGCTTTGAACCCAGAACCTTCATGCTACATGTGTTTATATTCATAAAATACAAGTTAAAATGCAGTGTGAGGTTTTTTATTGAACACTTACTGTACTGCTTTGATGCGACAAGTATCTTCAGTCTGAATGGAGTAATTCACAATTCGGTCAAGTGAGACTCTGGTTTTGGACCACACGACACAACAACTGCGTATGCTTATAGGGGCTGAAAATGTCACACACAGAAAAAGTCGCATTAATTTTATCCGTTAAAAACAGTCAAGCTATAAAGTAAATGAAAAATTATTTCTTCCTTGCAGTACTCACTTGTACGGACTGAGCTCATCCAGGTAGTGAAACAGAGAAAAGCGGCTAAAACCAGGCTGGGCTGCATCTTTAGTATTCCGCTTTAGGTTTGTTCTTCAGAAGCTGAGCCTCAAAGCTGTCGGCACAAACCTTCACAGCCTGTTAAATAATCTCTGTGCCTCCCTGAGCTTTTATCAGAGTATCGAATCAAATGAGTCTTGCTCACATGGCAGACGCAGTGCATGCGTTCATGGTATTTCCTAGTGTGGTCTTTCTGAGCAATCAGGTTTTGATGTTGATTCTAATAAAAAAAAAAAAAGGCCCCTTTGCGCTCGTTCTCATTTTACCAACACAATGGGGTAAAAAACCACTGAGTTCATCATTTATATTTAAACTGTTAACAATGCAACAAGTACAACAGCATCAGAAATACAAACTCATAAATAATCGTAACTATGTGCATGCACAGAAACAGATTAATCCACTTCCTTTATATTCAATCTGAAAGCCACAGGTGACCTGCATTTTAGGTGGCATGTGGCGTGGTAATTTAAACCATGGAAAGTTTTCACGGTGAGAAAGTGAGTTAAGATCAGTGAGTGATTGAATTTGAAAAGCATCAGTCTGAGAAGTTTTAGCAGACTGATACTAATGATTACATCACTAGGCAAACTGATGATGTAATCGAGTCAGTTTTTAAAATGAGAGAGATTGGATTAAATTAAAATCACTTTATTATAGTAAATAAAGAGTGAGTAGGTTCAGAAAGCAGAGTTTCCTCATTTGACAAACATTAGAGGTTAGTGTGCAGTTAAAGGTACGAGCAACGACAGCGACCAGAGTATGAATAATTCTAATTAAATCCTGTTTTAACTGATTATGACAAAAACACAATATTTGCTGGAAAGTGCTTTATTGGCAGTTAAAAGTGGGAAAACTTTAAAATACATTTTTGTACATGACAACAATATGAAAACAAAGAATGGTGATATATGGTAATATATAGAGAGATTAATGTTACTTTTATCAGGTACTGTTGATGAAATAAAGCAGGAAGAGTACAATAAAAAAGAGCAACATTTGCCGACTATGATAAGTTTGAAATGTTTTGTGATTTCTCAAACACATCGTTTCTTGTTCCCTCTCATGGCATTTTCCTCTGTCCTTTCCTTCTTCTGCACTTCGTCAGAGAGATATTTTTTGATTTTGTGGATGTTGTTGTTGTTGTGGATGTTGTTGTGGATGTTGTTGTTGTTGTGGATGTTGTTGTTGTGGATGTTGTTGGTGCGGATGCTGGTGGTGTGGATGTTGTTGATAGTGAGGATTTTGTTGTTGTAGATGTTTTAGTTGTGGATGTTGTTGGTGTGGATGTTGTTGGTGTGGATGTTGTTGTTGTGGATGTTGTTTTTGCGGATGTTGTTTGTGCGGATGTTGTTGGTGCGGATGCTGTTGGTGCGGATGCTGTTGGTGTGGATGTTGTTGTTGTAGATGTTGTTGGTGTGGATGTTGTTGGTGCGGATGCTGTTGTGGATGTTGTTGGTGTGGATGTTGTTTTTGTAGATGTTGTTGGTGTGGATGTTGTTGGTGTGGATGTTGTTGGTGTGGATGCTGTTGTTGTGGCTGTTGTTGGTGTGGATGCTGTTGTTGTGGATGTTGTTGGTGTGGATGTTGTTGTTGTAGATGTTGTTGTTGTGGATGTTGTTGTTGTGGATGTTGTTTTAGTGGATGTTGTTTTTGTGGATGTTCTTGGTGCAGATGTTGTTGGTGTGGATGTTGTTGTTGTAGATGTTGTTGTTGTGGATGTTGCTGATGTGGATGTTGTTGGTGCAGATGTTGAGAGTGAGGATGATTCTGGTGTGGATGCTGGTTTGTATGTTGTTGGTGTGGATGTTGTTGGTGTGGATGTTGTTGTTGTGGATGTTGTTGGTGTGGATGTTGTTGTTGTGGATGTTGCTGATGTGGATGTTGTTGGTGCATTCTTCTTGTCCACCCACTCCATTGCTTTTATTGTCCAGTCAGCATTGGGATTAGCGCATATTGTCTTTCCAAGCACAGTCCGTAACCTGTAATTGTTAGTCAGTCATTAATTGCACTGAAATACAGTTTTGACATTATTTCTAAATATATTCTGGCATATTTGGTACATGTTAAGTTTAAAGAAAGAGGCTGGTTGGCTCTGTTGCCTCACTGTGTGGCGGCCCTGAGTTCAAATCTGGGCACGGTCTGTGTGGAGTTTGCATGTTCTCTCTGTGCTCTGATTTCTCCTGACTCTCAATAATATTACAAGTAATAGTCGCTTTTCTAGGCCAATGACATTCCCACAAAGAGTTTTTTGTCTAAAACGTTTCACTTCCCCTATAAAATAAAAGTTAATATTTATAGCAAAATTGTTCCCTCTCAGTTACACCTAGTGTTACGTTGTCGGAGTCCGTTCTTGGTCATCTAAGTCATGGTAGTCATAAGAACTTGAAAAGAGGGCGACTGTACTGCAGTTAAATGAAGAAGTTTCGCTTCTCATCTAAAAGGATTCTTTTTCTAACAGTTCAATATTCACTCAGTTTTTAACAAACTTTTCCTGGACCATCTCTTTGCTTAGAGGGTTAAATTATTTATTTGTTATATCATTTATGAAGACAATTTAAAAACATTCAGGTTATCTGAATTTTATTATTTTATACCCATCCATACATTTCAGGTTTAGGAAAAGTACTCTCGCCCAAAGTCAGCCTAAGGCGAGAGGCAAAGTGGACCGTGGACAGGACGCCGGTCCATCACAGGACCACATACAGTCATTCACATGTACATTTACACCTGATGTCAATTTAGAATGACTAGTTACTCAGGCCTGTCTTTGGACTGGTGAAACATCTAGAAAAGACCCCAGCTGGCCAACAGCTTTGAACCCAGAATCTTCATGTCGCACGTGTTTTATTTTTACTAAAAACTTTTTTACTAAAATACAAGTTAAAGTACAGTGTGAGGTTTTATGAACACATACCGTACTGCTTTGATGCGACAAGTATCTTCAGACTGAATGGCATAATTCACAATTCGGTCAAGTGGGACTCTGGTTTTGGACCACGAGACACAACAGCTTTCTCCAGGTCCTGAAAAAGTCACACAGACAAAGTCACATTAATTTTTACCCTGAAGAAAGACCACACAGTGAATGAAAATCCTTTTTTTTTCTTTCCTTGCAATACTCACTGGCAAAGGCCAAGCTCATCCAGGTGGTGAAGCAGAGAAGAGTGGTTACAACCAGGCTGGACTTCATCTTCAGTATTGCGCTTTGGGTTTGCTCTTCAGAAGTTGAGTCTTGATTCTGTCAGTGCAAACCTTTACAGCCTGCTAAGTAATCTTACTCCTTTCTGATCAGATAACGGAGTGTCGAATCAAAGCAGTGTTGCTCACGCAGCAGGCGTGGGGTATATGACGTTTCCAGCTTGTGAAGTTCTCTCAGTCATTCTGAGCATTAAATTTTTGATCTCGCCTCTTATAAAACATAAGCCCCTCTGCTACTCCCCCACCCCACCCAGACCTTTCATCATGGGGGGATAGTCACTATGGCCACATAGTGGGGAAAGGAAATATTGACTTCATCTGTTACAAGCTAAAAATGACAAACAGTCCTTTCACCACAGACCTGCCCACAATGCAACACAAACAGCAGCGTATAGAAATACAAACACACATAAACATAGTTACTTGTACACACACAGAGATACTCATCACTTCCCTTTGTGCTCACTCTGAAAGCCACAATTGCCTCCACTGTCACTACGAGTTTGAAAAGTTTGCTAGCTTAAAGAAACATTGAATTTGAGCGTGAATTAACACTGAATGTTAATTAGGAAAGTGGGGATTTCACACAGTCAATTAGTGAATTGAATTCAGTGAGTGTTTGAATTTGATTCATTCTTATCTAAAACATCTATGAGAGAATTAAGTCACCTCTTTCATCCTGCTGTCAACCACAGAATCATACATGAAAGGGTGGTTCTCAGCTAAGCCTTCGTCATTAGCCCTTTACGCACATGCTATACCCATATAAGAGGTTACATTTATTTTTGGCCCTTTCTCGCAATTGTATGGGTGTGTAGTGACTAACATCGCAGGACCGTTAAGCTTAATTTCCTTCTTTTAAATTAACAATTAAATCGTGAAATCAGCAGTTTTAGCATGTGGAATCCTGGGAAACTGACTTTAAACATCAACCAAATCCTCACAGTCAGGAGCAGAACAGGACTCGTAATTCAACACTGGAAATGCAGAGGATTTAAGAGGACAATGATATTGTCCCCTTTGTAAACTACTATGAACTATAATCATGTCAACATATTGTTAGAACATCTGAAGATGTGTCACAGCTTGGAGTTACATTAGAATAAATTCCCACAAATAAACAAAACAAAGTTTCTGGGTATATTTCTGGGTTAAATACGTGTTTCTTTTATTTTCAGAATAAGTACAAACATGACTGGCGTCCCTCACAGCTGCTCGTGAGAGAGACTGCGGGCAGTTTTATTTCATACCAAAGTAGAACAAACCAGAAGAAAGGGTAAAAGCTGTATTGGAGAGCAGGAAGGAAGGAAGTAGCATACAGGAAAGAGTAGGCATCAATAGTGTGTGCAGGAGGCAGCACATGCCAGTCCTAGAGCATAACACCAGCATTTCACAACCAGTCATGGAGACCAATAATGAAGTTGTCTCATTTTAAAATTTAAAATGACAAAGAAATAGATGATGGGTGAAATTAAAAAAGGAAATAAGTGAGTGACTACTGTGCTGTATATAGTAGAAGAGGTCAGGGCAATGCATGCGAAGACAACAGAAAACAATGTTTACAAGACACAAAAGAGAGGCACGAATAAGAAGACAGCGTAGAATTATACCATGATGGGTTTAATTAAACAGAAGAACAGCTGATTTTGGCAAATTTGAAGTCTTTTCATGTTTTTGCCCTTTTTTCCTCTCTTTGTTTTTTCCCTGTGTTCTTTCCCCAATCTGCCAGTCTTTAAGTGTGTGTGTTTTTTAACGCTGCTGGTGTAATGTCACTTACTGTTGCTGCTGCTTAGCTAGTTAGTGGGACACAACATGTTCTTAGTCCATCCCTTTTGCGAATTCTCCCTGTCCACCCACTCCATTGCTCCTATTGTCCCGTAAGCGCCTGGTTTGGCACAGATTGTCTTTCCAAGCACGGTCCGTAACCTGCAATTGTTGGTTGGC